GGGTGCCCCATTTGTAAGTCATTTCTTCCTGTACAATTATCTAAAATACCTAAAGAATCTAAAAAAACTAGAAGAAGTCCAATATAAAAACTACCCTACCAGTGTCTGCTGGCACACAGATGATGCAGAACTGTAGATGAGGTCATACCAAGGATTCATATCAATGTTTAAAGGTCTGGGGTGATGACACTGATCGTTGCACATCAAGATAATTCAAATGGGGAGGGACAAGAATCCCCAGAATCTCCTTTCCACAGCCTCTCTTCCAGAAGGAATATGGCCTTTGCAAGCAAGGAATACCAGGGTCTCTTGCCTTGAAAACCCCACAGGATCGTCATAACTCAGCTGTGACTTCATGGGTGGGGGTGGGGGAAGCACTCCTTTGAAGCCCTCTTTTTGAAAGGTGTTACTGAAGGATACTATGATTACTGAAAAGCAGCCAAGAGGTTACATCAACAGGACTGCAAACTTCCCATTCTGACATAGGTCTTCAACCGGGGTGGATGGAGAAGATCAGCACAGTTACCACATATTTTCCTTTTGTGCTTGGGTAGGAACAAAGGATATCCAAAAACCGCAGAATACCAGCATGCTGAAGGTGATGAACTCGGCCTCATTGAAACTTGGGCAATTTTCTGGCTAGGAAAGCCACCACGAAGCTGATAAGAGCCAAGAAACCCATGTAGCCCAGGACCAGTGTTCCCTCTGAGTTATGCAGTAGCCAAATCGCTCACTTACAGCTTTAATGTCAGTAACTAACAAAGGCCCCAGTCACATGGCAAAGTTGCCGCGGGAGAGGCACGGATGGTGGGTGGATTATCCGGGCGCGATCACACCCCAACATCTGGGAAGTGGAGCGCACCCGTGGCTTACCGCCGACAATGCACGTTAAAAAACTAGTACCTCCAAGGTACTAGTAAACGTTTGCCACGGGCTGCCTCCAGACGCCCGTGGTGTGATCGCGCCGGCGTGCGGCATTCCCCTCCGGTCCCTTGTTTACCCACTGGCGCAGAGGGAAGGACCTGTGGTGTGCTACTGGCGCGTTCGATCGCGTAATCGTGGATCAAACTGCATCGGGGCAATTAGCCATGCCTCCCCCCCACGATATCCAGCCTGTGTGACCGGGACCAAAGTGTAATTTTTGCTCACAAGCCTCCACAGCTTAGAGGGAGCATTGCCCAGGACACAGTAAAACATGGCCCTTCATTACATTCTGCTGTGATCTCTTCTGTCACTGAGTGCTGTCCAAATCAGGGAATGGCAGAGAATTCCAAGCCACAGGGAACAAATGCCTGCCTAAAGACGGGCTACAAAAAGACTGGGAACACAGCCAAACCAGTAGAAGGGAGTATAAATGCTATGTACCCCTGAACTGCTCTAAAATAGAAACTTTATTAACAATACTATCAAATGTCTTAAAGACAATAAATTTAACAATCAATGTTATAACATAAACATACAACAAAAAATCGTAAATGAAACCCGGCTCATAACTTTGGACTACCCACAAAAGGAGCCATGTAGTATCAGGTCTGTTGTGTCAATGTATCATATCACAAAAAGGACAATTTCACATGATTATCATGGACCCAAAAAGGGTTCACAGTCTGGTATATAATGATCCACATAAACGGGCTCCCAACTAGATAATTTTAACAAAGGTGATCACTCAAATTTAACTACTGTGGTTGGAGAATGCAACACAACAGACACAATTGAAAAAGATCTCGAAACAAGGCCACATCCGAAATCCTTGACATTGATTCCACGGCTGCATACAGAGTCTGGAGCCACGTTATTTACGAAGATGTTACAGGTAAAGGTTTCCCTTGCTCGAAAGCCAGTTGAATCCGACTCTAGGATTGCGGTGCTCATCTCCGTTTCCAAGCTGAAGAGCCAGCGCTGTCCAAAGACATCTCTGTGGTCATGTGGCCGGCATGACTAGACACTGAGGTGCATGGAACGCTGTTACCTTCCCACCGAAGTGGTACCTATTTATCTACTTGCAATTTCTTGCTTTTGAACTGCTAGGTTGGCAGGAGCTGGGGCCAGAGATGGGAGCTCACTCCATCATGCAGCCAACCAGTCATTTCCCCACCCAGTTTCTCATCCTGGATGCAGATTTGGTGGCTGTGAAAGCCAAAACTACCACAGTGAAAAGGACTCCAAAAGTAATTTGTCAGAGAAGGCACATTGTGTTCACAGGCCTGGTGAGGAATAACAAGGGCCAGGTGTGTGAAGAACATAGGTGAGATTCTGGCTGTTGACTAGATTATTGGGTTGTTTCCACATTAGACTCACCAGTTTCTTGCCAGGGGTGGGTGAATAAAAATACACAAACTGGAACTTGGAACCTGGGTAACTGGAAATACCAGTATTTTTCAGCTCCCTGATATCTGGGTTGTCATTGCCCCCCCCCCCGAATTCCAATATTATTTGGTTTCATTATTCCCAATGGAACGCTGGAGGGCTGGAGGGGTTGGTTTTTGAGCAAATTGCACCAAAATTGCAATGAAGCTGCTGGTGCCTGTCTTTTAAATAACTGCCAAGTTTCAAATCAAGTGGATAAAAAAGTCCAGTTCTATGGCCCCCTGAACAAGGTGCCCCCAGACATCCTCCATTGTTTCTTGGGGGTGTAGGAGAAATTCCATACTTTCTCCAGGCCAAAGAATAGCCAAAGACACAAGAGCAAGCAAGGCAACCCCTGGCCAAAAGCAGACAGAACCAACAAGCCTAAAGAAGCAACAGAGAACCATGCAATCCCAGCAGAAGCACAAGACAGCATGGCAAGCCTAACAGAATGCATGTACAACCTGAGAATCCTAGCCAATATTAAACCAGAGAATCTTCTAGTTCAATTCAAATAGAAACATTGTTACAAGGTAAATTCAGAGAATCCAACCTAATGTACAATGCAAGAATCTAAGTAAATGTCAAAATAGAGAATCCACCACAAATCACAAACCAACTCACACAAAGAATACAATGTTGCAAGACCCATAGAACTAATGTCAAAGCACAGACTCTAAGTCAAATCAACCCCACAAGCTGAAACCAGGCTCTGGAAAGAAAACACTGACACAGACAGACAGCAAATTCAAGAAAAAACTGTCCTTGGAGCCTTAAAATGCTGACTCCCAATATTCCCAATTACTTCTGAATACTTCCAGGAATTTCCAGTTTTTTGTGACCCATTTCCCAGTATCCTGTAAAACCCCAGATACGATTCAGAGATCCGAATATACCTAGATCCGAATATACCTATTTTCTGGATATATACTTGGATCGGATACATCTGAGGGCACATCCCTAGTGATGGCCATATGCATAGACAACTTTAAAAAGAGATTAGACAAAATCATGGAGGATAGGTCTATCAGTGGCTACTAGCCATGGTGACTAAAAGGAATCTCCATGTTCAGAGGTAGTAAACCTCTGTACCAGGAAGCTACATCAATGGAATGTCTCAGCCTCTATGCCCTGCTATTAGACCTCCAGAGGAACTGCTTGGCCACTGTGTGAGACAGGATGCTGAACTAGATGAAGCACTGCTCGGATACAGCAGGGCTCTTCTTGAGTTCTTCTGTTCAGTACAGTACCAGCACTTGCTCCATTCTCCCCCCTCCCACACAAACACACATTTCCTCCTATCAGATCCTCAGGTGCTGGTGGGCAAAAGATTGGGATTGTTAACCACATAGAATCTAGGAAAATGTGTTATTCACAGTTCAAAATGAACCTTGGAACTGTGTGAAATGGTCAGCTTCTGTGCCACAAAGCAGCTTAATGCTCATGCATACTTGTTTAGAGAAGGGCTGAACCTGGAAAGGGGCCAATCACAGAATTATACTAAGGCACCTTAAGAGGACCCTGACTTGGATAGCCCAGATTAGTCTCAATTTTGGAAACTAAGCAGGGTTGGCCCTGCTTAGTATTTGAATGGGAGACCACCATGGAAGCCCAAGGTCCCTACAAAGAGGCAGGCAATGGCAATGGCAAACCACCTCTGAACATCTACTTGCCTTGAAAACCCTACGGAGTCACCATAAATCGGCCATGATGGAAACAAAAACAACAGTAATCCCAAAAGACAAAATAAGGATAATAATTACCTGGAGTAGGTAACACAAGAATAAAAATTGTCCCTGTTAAATAGGAACAGTCGATATTTTCTAGGGTGAAGGCAATTTACGTTTATTTATATACTTCTTTTTTAGGCTGACGGATGCTTTTATTTATTGTTTAATGGCAACGACCCTTGCAACAAGTTCAGCCACAGCTCTAACAACGTCCTGGCTTGAGAAGGAACTCATCCAACACTAACAGCCATTTCCCTAATTTTGTACACCGCCGGTCTCGCGCTCGCTTTCCAATCATCGCCCTTCAGCAACGCTCGTGATTGGCCGAGAGCCGCGCGCACGCGACCAGAAGAGTGGCCATTGGCTGCTTCTAGTTTACATTAAAGGGGGTAAAAGAGGACAAGAGGACAGGAAGACCAGATTCATAGTGGCAGGGAAAACACAGTTCACATGACGAGCAGCCTAAACTTCCGGTCTTAAATTGAAAGCCCTCTACTCCGGAGGACGGCGGAAGACAAGGGGGCCTGGCGAGATGGGGTCGCGAAGAGTCGGAACCGGGAGTGGCGTCGCTCTAAGCGTTGGGTCTCTATGGTCAAAACCCCTCTATCCTTTGCATAGGAAGTTAGAAGAGCGGAGAGCAGCCGTTCGGTTTCAGGCCAGGCGTTGAGAGAGTGTGCCGTGTTAATCTCTCTTTTAAAACAAAAAAAATAAATCTCAGTGCCCAATGATTTCAGGTTGTAGAAAGAAACTACCAATAATAACAATAATTAATTAATTAATTAATAAAAAGGTAAAGGTTTCCCTTGCCCGAAAGCCAGTCACTAATCATCAAATCTTTGGGAAGGGGATTGGTCAGGCTGCCGGTCTCGCGACAGCGGGAAGCCTCGCCCGCGTCCGTGCTTCTCGCGAGAGGAGCAGGCGACTTCCTTTTCCTAGGCAGCCTCGGAAGCCGCGTCGGCGGGGCTCTCTGAGCGATGGGAGTGGGGAGGTGAGCATCCGCGGGCTTCCCTGAGCCGCTTCCCATCCGGCGCGGAGGCTCCTTAGTCCTCGAGCCGGTTCCTGCCCTTTCCCTTCCCGCGGGGAAGCCGGAGAGGAGCTGCCGTTTTTGTAGCTCCGCCCCCCCTCGCGCGCTGGGCATCCCCTCCCCCCCCTCCTCCTCCCTGGGCGGTTTGGAACTCTGGTCCGGACCTTGGAAACTGCTTCTGTGTCCGGCCAGGTTATCGGTGCCTCCAGCTTCACGTGGACCCCCGGCTGGTCGCAGCCTCTCGTGGTCTCGGGCGGGAGAAACTCCTTGCCCAGGATCTGCTCCCGACCAGGGTTGACCCTGTGGGTTTATGCGTGTGCGTCAAGTAGCCGTTTGTCTCGTTTTACTCGAGATGGTCTACTCTGGCTGGCAGTGGCTCTCCAGGGTCTCGCGTAGAGATCTCGCACGCCACCTGCTCCTTGGGAGTCTCTTGAGATGCCCAAGGTTAGACCTAGAAGCCTGTGCATGTCAGTTGTATGGTTGTATGTATTTAGTGCCTTTACAGAAAATAAAAACAATCGGTCTTTCCTCCAATGAGGCCAGTGCAGCACGTGTGGGTCTTTACTTCTCCATTTTATCCTGTGAGGTTGGTTAGGCTGAGAGACTGTGGCCCTGGGCCACCCAGTGACCTCAGCAGGTAGAGGTTCAAACTCGGAGCCAGTGCAGTGTAGTGGAGGTGTCGAACTCATTCATCACAAGGGCCAGATCTGACATAAATGTCACTTTGTCAGGCCGGGCCATCTGTGCCATAAAACATAATACTGGGTGCCGGAGAAATAAACTGTATACATGACAGCAGCTGTTAAGCTCTGAGTTGGTGTATCCTCACTGAAAGGCCCCCGGGGCTGGGAGGGAGGTGCAGAGGAAAACCCACATGAGTGGACTGGAGAGCCAGAAGCACAGCCCTGGGCAGACACTCCCACACTGCTTGACCGCTGCAGACAAGGCTGTTCCGCCATGCTGAAGCCACAATCGGAGTGGCTCCCCCCACTCCCCCCAGCAGTCTCCTGTTTCCTCCCTTGCACTAGTTGCTCGCAGTCCCCATAAGAGCCCTGGATGGGGCGGTTCTGGCTTCCAGGCCAGAGTGTCAGACCTGTCAGAGTGTCTGGCTTCCAGGTTTGAGTGTCAGACCAGGATTTGGGAGACCCACTCATGCCATGGAAGCTTGCTGGGTGACCTTGGGCCAGTCACACACACTCTGCCTAACTCACTTCACAGGGTTATTGTTGTGAGGATAAAATGGAGGCAAAGAGAACAAGGTAAGCTGTTTTGGGTTGCCATTGGGGAGGAAGGTGGGGTATAAATGAAGGAAATAAATAAAACAAGGTCCTAGTCCAACAATAGATTCAGGTGGGGCAGCTGTGTTGGTCTGAAGCAGCAGAAGAAAGTTTGAGTCCAGTGGCACCTTTAAGACCAATAAAGTTTTATTCAAGGTACAAGCTTTATTCAAGGTATAAGCTGGTAAATGGAAGTTGTCAGTCCATACATATACGGTGAGCAGTAAATTAGCATACAGCATAAAGATGTTTAACAGATGTTTTACCGCTTCATTTACTGCTCACCAGGAGAAGCTGAGTTGCCTAAGCGAGGCTGTGGATGTTCTATGGAAGTGCAGGAAACTCTCATTGTGTGCTGCTTGGTACAGAATTAATCCACCTGCCAAAGTTGATTTCTCAAAAGGACTTGAAATTGCACAGGGATTGCCTAGTTTGATGTAGTGGTTAAGTGTGTGGACTCTAAACTGGGAGAACTGGGTTTGATTCCCCACTCCTCCACTTGCAGCTGCTGGATGACCTTCGGTGAGCCATAGTTCTGTCAGAGCTGTTCTCTCAAGGACAGTTCTCTCTGAGCTCTCTCAGCCCCACCTACCTCACAGGGTGTCTGTTATGGGGAGGGGGAGGGAAAGGAGATTGTAAGCCGCTCTGAGACTCTGAGTGAAGGGCAGGGTATAAATCCAATCTCTTCCTCTTCTAGTGGAATCTCAGGAGCCATGGGGGGGGGGGGAAGAGAGTTAGGGTAAATCTGTGGTCAGAGTGTTGGCTGTGGGGGGAAAGTAAGATCCAAGTTCAGATGCCTTGCATAAAACTCACTGCGTGGCTTTGGGCCAGGGGCCGTGTCTTGGCCTAACCTCCTCACGGAATTGTAGATGGTGGGGGGGGGGCAAGGTAAATACGCAATTGAAAATATGTTTCTGTTAGTCTTGGGGTAGAACTCCACAACCCTTTGTAGCAGTTTATCCTGTCTCCAAACAAAATTATAATTACTTAGGCACAGCATGCAGACTGGACGTTTACATACACCAGTTGCAGAAGTTAGCTCATCGGGTCACAGAATCTATGTTAGCAGTGCAGGATTTGAAAGCTCTCTTAGCACAGAGAACCCACAGCGTCTGGCGCTTCCACATAGCTGCCTTGCGTTGTTTCTTCAGGCCAAGCGATAGCTGCTTCTGTAACTTCACCTGAACCCTTGGGGTAGAGCCCATTCTAATGCCCTGCTTTCTCTTGCAGATGCCCCGTCACTGCTCTGCCACTGGCTGCTGCACCCGTGACACTCCCGAGACCCGCAACCGTGGCATTTCCTTCCATCGGTGAGTGTTAGCATCATCCTGCCCCTTCCCTTTTCAGAATTCTGATTAGCGGAATCCTTTGAATTGAGCAGTTGGGCGGGACTACTCCGCAGAGAGCACCACATCTTAAACTGTCCACATTCTTCCACATCTCTGTCCTCACTTTTATGTGATCTGATGGTCAGACGGATCTGTAGAGCAAGGGAGGCCCAGGGGAGGCTGAGAGCCAGGGTTGCCTAGTGGTCAGAGTGTCAGCCTGGGATCTGGGAGGACCAGGTTTGAGTCCCCACCGTGCCATGAAATTGGCTGGGTGGCCTTAGGTGGGTCATGGTGTCTCAGCTTAATCCGCTTCACAGGGCTGTTGTGAAGATGAAATGGAGTGCAATCCTGAGTTTTTTGGAGGCCAGGCAGGGTAAAAATGCATTATTTAGATAGGTTCCTGTTGTGAATTCTTGGTTGTCCACTTAGAAATCCAACCTTTATTCCCTAGAGACAATTCCTGGAAACTAACTTTTTACTCTATGGTAGAACCTCTTCAGCACCACCCCCAACTACTCCCCTCCCTTTCCTCTGCTTCCCCACCCTCTAACAGGACCTGGGTTCTGATCACTTGCTTCCAATTAACAGTGTTGAAGTTACTGGCCCACAAAAGGTTGCGTTAGTCCACCTCCTCATACCTATGAACCATGTTGGTATGCCAAAGGCATGGAAGAGCCAGCCTGCTGTCCTCTCGTTGGTCATTTGGAGTCAGTTTTTGGTTGCTGGCAGCCGTCACTCTTTCATGCGCCTCTTGGACTCCCAATAGCTGTCAAGCATATGCAGTGCATGGCTCCATATTCGTGCCCCTAGCTTCCTAACTCTGATTTCTATGCTTTTCCCCATCTTTGACTTTTACCTCCCTAAACCCTGCCTCCCAAAATTACTGTTAGCTGAAAAGCCAAATCTGGAACGTAGAAAAAAATTAAAGCAAAGTAGCTGCAAATATTTGGGGAAAAGATAGGACTTTTGCCGGCGTGACACAGCAGGCTTCTGGGCGTGGGCTTTTCAGATAGATGTGGTATATTGCCTTCCACCCCTTGCCTGCATCTTCATTCACTCTCCTTCTGTTGCTACTCTAGTACTATCTTGGCCACCAAAATGTCTTGCTGGCTTGTTTGAAAGGGCCGTGCTAGTGCTATGATTCTCTTTTCAGTGGAGGGCAGAGCATTGAGTACTGTGAGGGACTGAGGTTGGGGGGCTGGACAGAATTGAATTAATCACTAGTCTACTCGTAGGTACAGGAAAACGTCTGGGCTGAGTTTTCAGGCAGATTTTCTTGAGGCTGAGGGCGTCCATCATCTTGCCTGTTGCATTATATTCTTGGTAGACTAATTGTGGTTCCTCTCATGTGTGTTCGTGCAGACTGCCGAAGGACAACCCCCGGCGAGCCATGTGGCTGGAGAACTGTCGCCGGAAGGACATGAGCGGCCAGGGTCTCTGGGACCCTGCCTCCAAGTATGTTTACTTTTGCTCCAAGCACTTTGAGAAGACTTGCTTTGAACTGGTGGGCACCAGGTAGGTAATTGGTGTCTGATGGGGCCTGGATTAAAAAAAAAAAAAGTGGTTATCTACAGTCGCTGTTTGGCAGTGGTGAGGAAACTGCTGGGAAATCAGGCCCAACGGCAGCCTTTGACTTTTGAAAGAGTTCTCGCTGAGAGCATAAAACTGTGTCTGAAGGCAGGAAACCAAAACAAACTTTGAAGGCCAGGAAGAACCTTCAGTCTGCTTGGATTACGTAAGGATGAGACATGTCTACTTGGTGATACCGTATCTTTGTAGGGTAGATATCAGCATATATGCAAAAAAGATCGATCTTGATCAATCTAAATCGGAAGTCAAGAGGATTTGTGTCACACTGTGGTCGTGCCTTGTTGACGGGCCAGGTTTCTACCGAGCTTGAGGATGTACTTCTTTATTATTTCAATTTATATCCTGGCCTCCCCACAAGCGGGCTCAGGGTGAGCTCACAACAATAAATTCAATACAATCTTAAAATGATTCAGTCAGATAATACATAACAGTATTAAACCAACACAATAAAACCAATTTAAGACATTTAAAAGTGGGCAGTGCAGTATATTCTGTTTCAGTTCTTACAGCTGGGAAATGAGTGGGCCAGCACCAAGCCATAATGGTCTCATGCACCAGCTATAGGGAAGCCAGCTGGTCGATGCCTGCTGCCTCACCCAAAGGCACAGACTGGTGTGTTTGTGTGCTTGCTGTATAATGGGGTTGTTGCCGTGGTCTTTTGAGGGAGAGAACGAGGATCGACGAAGCAACACAGGCTGCAGTCTCAGGCCTATTTACTTTGGACCCAGAACACACAAAGGGGTAGAGATCTGGGCAAAGAGGATTGATTTATGAAATTTCTACCTCATCATTTTATTGAAATAGCATTCACAACTAAAAGACAACAATAATACAAAAGACCATTTATTTCTTCCACTAATTGCAGAAAAGAAACAACCTTTTATTTAGCAACGGGCGGGAGGGCGGGATATAAATCCAAAAATAAATAAATAAAAATAAAGGCTAGTCATTTCAAAACCCAGCAGGAGAAGAAATAGCAGGGGATTGGTTGTGATCAAAAGTCATCTAACGCTTTTGGAAGCAGAGCTGTTGTGACAGATTTCTGGAGGGCCAGGAGGGAAGGAATAAGACTGGGGTCCCTGGGTCAGAGTTTTAGAGCTGAAGAAGCCCACCAGCCTCTCCTCAGTTAAAGCAGAATGCAACTGGTCAGCTGTAGGTGTGCAGCCAGCTCATCCCAGGGTCCCACAGCTCACGCAAAACCTCACCCTCCTGTACCATGATCCACAGTTGAGAAGAATGCTGACTAGTAGCAACAGCCTGTGTATCTTGCTGCTTCCTTCCTAGTGGTTACCATCGGCTCAAGGAAGGCGCTGTCCCCACTATATTTGAGCTTCATGCCAAGCCGCGGCGGAAATCAAAACTAGGCAACTCCAGACTTGCAAGGCGCCAGCAGAAGCAGAGGTGAGCTGTTGCCTTTGTGACTTTATCTTGCATTGCCCTGTCTCCTGCCTTTGTAGCTTCTCCACCACGCATGACAATAGGCTTGGGACAGAGGTCTGTTTGTGGGGAAGCATTGGGCCGAGGGGCAGAGCAAGAAAGGGAGGGAGATGGCTGACACGGTACATATAGCTCAATACTTAGAAATGGGACTGTAATGCTGGAGGGGTGGCAGTGAGGCTCAATTAGATCTGCAGATGGATTCCATAGGTGCAGAGAAAGTTGCAGTATATGCGGTGTAAGTTGCAGTATATTGCATTTCATCCTCAGAGAGCCTTGCAAGGCAGTAAAATCTCAATTTGCCCAAGGCCACCCAAAGAGCTTCCTGAGCTCCCTGTATCCCTGTCCAGTGCTGCCTCCACTGGTCCATGCTGGAGAAAGCATGCAGCCTTTGCCATCAGCACTGCTTTTCTTGCTTTTGTTCTTGGTCCACACTCGTCGCTGCTTTTGTAGCGTGGAACAGATCATCCCCCACCTGCCCACCTGACCATGGTTCTCTTCCCTTCCCTACAGCTGCAGCCCTTGCCCAGAGGAGGAGTCGACCCCGTCGTCCATGGACATCTCGTGCTTCCCCGTGCAAGAGCTCCCGAGCCCCGTGGCCACTCCCACCAGCGGGGAGCCCCGAAGCCAGCCCGTGCTTCCCGGGCCAGAGCCAGAAAGCCTGGCCCCCCTCTCAGACATTCCCCCGGACCAGTCGCCGGCTGCCACAGGGCAGGAGGAAGCCTCTCCCTCTCCGGCCCTCCCTGAGCCAGTGGGGGATCCCTCCCATCCCGTTTCCCTCTCCCTCTACATGCTACGCCTCCCTCCCCCAGCCGGGGCCTACATCCAGAACGAGCACAGCTACCAGGTGGGCAGCGCCTTGCTGTGGAAGCGGCGAGCCGAGGCAGCCCTCGACGCTTTGGGCAAAGCTCAGCGGCAGCTGCAGGCCTGCCGGCGCCGTGAGCAGCGACTCCGCCTGCGCATCTGCGAGCTGCAGCGTGAACGGCGGCCACACGGTGCCGACGCCCACCGGCGGCTGAAGGAACACTTGGAGGTCTTTGAACTGCAACTACTCAACGACCTAGAGTGACTCTGGATGGATGGCGGCTAACCTTTCCCCCTGTTGGGCACCGTCTCAGCCGTCGGCTGCATGACTGTTTCCCTTGGCCAAACCATGTGTCGAGCAGCTTTGAGGTCCTCCTAACCGGCCCGCTGCTTGGCACTCACCCTCCTCTCCCCCGTCACCATTTATGTTTACTTGGTGTCTGTAAATAAAGATTGTTTTGTACGACTGGCTTCCCCCATCTCAGGGGAAAGACAATTTGGGTTGCTTGTAAATAGATCCAGGGTAGCACTTACAGGCAGACTGTGTGTACAGCTGAAGTAACAGGCAAGGAAGCCATGATGTTTCCAGCACCTAAGAGCCTCTCTAGATGTTCTGTTTGGTTTGCCCTGTGTGAGGAGTTCCAGCATTCTCAGCCTGGTGAAATTTTTGAAGGATCTCCTCCTATCAAGGGGGATAAAAAATCACACGTATGCAGTGGCAAAGGAGCAGCTGGCTGTCTTGCTCCATCTGTTCCCTTTCTCTTTTTCGCAGCTAATTTTCTTTCTTCCTTTGCCCTCCCAATTCTTTGGGCAAACTGGTTGCCCAAATGAGCAAGGAGGAGAGAGAAATAACTAGTAGTTCCTGCTTCCCTGCATGTGGCTCCTGTCCCTTCCAGACTCCTCAGCCTGTTAATTCTGCCTGCTCAACCTTATCTATAAGGGCCCGGAAATAGTGGGTAGGAGATGAACCTTTCTTTTTGTATCGGAGTCTTCATACTTGCTGCCCAGGGAGCCCATCGTCTCCATACAAGGACGCATCCATACAAGGACGTCATGGGGCACCGCAGGTTAACACTTTAGCTGATCAGTTGGCATTGTACGTATGGTATAAGTAAGAACAGAGCTGCCCTAGAGGTGGCAGTGCCTTCTGGCAAGTAGTTTAGCAGATCTGTTCAGACAGCTTTAATCAGTGAGTCAAACTGTGCTTAAAGGGAATTGATGGTAAATGAAGCAAAATTTACCCAGCGGAGGAAGTTAGGTCTGGGCTTTGCATAGAGAAGAGTGAGGATGCAAAATCCGCTGCAAGAAGAAAAGTAGCACAACACAGAAAGGCTCTCATGTAGCTTGGTTTCTGCAGACAGTTATTTCTTTACACTATTTATAATCCGCCTTTCTCACTGGGACTCATGGGGCACCGAGTGAGACGTTACAGCCAACAAGACGGGACATTCAATAAACAATGAAATGGGATTTGGGTTGTAGAACCAACCAGAAGCCTAAAATCAGAGCTGAATGCAAAGCATACCACTAAATGATGCAAAGTGATACAATATAATCTAAATGCACAGCAAACTATACACAGAAGTACAGACCTCAGTCCCCAATAATTTATCCAGGTAACTGAAGCCGCCTGTGTGGAGCTACCCTATCGGTAATGCCGTCTCCTGCAATCGTTCAGTGGATGCTGCTGCCCCACAGTGCTGGCTGGACAGGACAGACTTAGGTCAGTGACTCCAGAACCCCTGAGACTCCCGACTACCTGCCCAAGGATTAAGTTTGGCTCTGGGGTACAAGTGGTAGCTGAGTCCCAAGCCATTTGTTGAAGAAGAGATTGGATTTATACCCTGCCCTCCACTACCCGAAGAAGTCTCTGAGTGGCTTACAAATTCCTTTCCCTTCCCCTCCCGACAACAGACACCCCGTGAGGTAGGTGGGACAGAGAGCTCTCTCTCGAGAACTGCTCTGAGAGAACTTGTGACTGACCCAAAGTCACACCAGCAGCTGCATGTGAAGATGTGGGGAATCAAACCCGGTTCTCCCAGATCAGAGTCCGGGCTCCTAACCACTGCACCAGACTGTTGTAGTGCTCAGATTTGTTCCATGTGCTTTGATTTTCAGCCCTGCTGTGTTCCTGCTGCCATTTTAACAGCTTGCACGAGGGTAAAGATTAGTTAGCTGATGGTGTATTTCTGCAATCTCTTGTAGTCTTGGCAGGGCAGATCAAAGCAGCATTCCCCTGCTCTCTTAAGTGGTTCAGGTAGAGCAAGAAATCCACTCTGAGATGCTGGTTAATACTGAACCCCTTCTTGCCTCCAGTCTCTCCTTAGTCAAGTACTTGCATTTATTTTTGTTGCCAATTTTGATCCACTCACCTGACCTGTGAAAGGCTACTGAGTTCCTCTCAACCGAGTCCTCGGAACTATCATGGCAGGATGACACGCAGCTAGTATGGATATCTATTTACGTTATTTATAGTCCACCTTTCTCACTGGGACTCAAGGCGGATCGCACGGAGCGAGTCAATGCAGTCAACAGGATGGGACAGCCAGTAGACAATGCAGGAGGATTTGGATGGTAAAAATCTGGAACCAACCAGAAATCTGAACACAAAACATAAGTATTGACATGACATGTTAAAGCGATGCGAAAATTACATTGTAGGATCCTACGTAAAGCAACATACAGTATGAGCTATACACAGTAACATAAATCACAGTCCTTAACTCTCTACTCAAGTAGCTTTCTGGACCTTTTTTTTTTTGGTTACAGTACAACCTTATCACCTGTGTAGAAAAGCCCTCTTGAATAATGCTCAAGTTAGTGTATTTACGGAGCTGCGGTGGCTCAAGTGGTTAAGATGCTGAACTGCAGGCTGTGGAAGGTCGGTAGTTCAGCAGTTCGAGACCTGAGTGTGCCGCATGACGGAGTGAGCTCCCCTCTCTAGTTCCAGCTCCTGCCAACCTAGCAGTTCGAAAGCAAGAAATTGCAAGTAGATAAATAGGTACCACTTTGGTGGGAAGGTAACAGCGTTCTGTGCGCCTTGGTGTTTAGTCATGCCGGCCACATGACCACGGAAATGTCTTCGGACAGCGCTGGCTCTTTGGCTTTGAAATGGAGATGAGCACCGCAACCCTAGAGTTGGATTCGACTGGCTTTCGAGCAAGGGAACCTTTACCTTTACTAAGTGTATTTACAGTTACTGACTGTTCAAGTCGGATTTGCATTGCTGGAGTACGCTACCATTCCTGCCCCTGCTCAAATAGTTAAAATAATTTGCTTAAAAACCCTACCAACTCAAAGGCACCATCGTAGTAATTTAATTTTGTTTTCTGGGATTTCCCATCCCACAACCGAGTTGCTATCGATCTTTTCTTCCTTGTCATGGAAACAAATGTGCTTTTTAAGACAAATGTTTTCTTTTTCTATTACCACAACTTTATTAGGGCTTCTGTCTCCTTGAGCATCTACTTTCTCAGTTTTATAACTCTTGCTCTCTAAAGAGAGAACTCTGGGGGGGGGGGGTTGCCTGGGTGTGTGTGTCTTGTCTTTCCTAATTGTACTATGGGATGCCAAAAATTCAACTTTGTTCCTTCGAAAATGCACTATCAACAGTCACAGGAGAATATATCACCATAAACTCTCTCACTCATGCCCAACTTCTGTGATATTAGGTTTTTTTTAAAAAGTATTATGAACACATGGCAGCTGTGTACCAGCACTCTATGGGTGGATGGTACATACAACTGTGTATAGGGGCCAATATGGGAACCAAAATCTTTTCAAATGCAAGGACAGTCTGCTTCCAACGCAGGACCTCTCATATGCCTAGGATTTCCTTTACTTCACACCTACGTGTATAGGGGCCAATATGGGAATCAAAATCTTTTCAAATGCAAGGGCAGTCTGCTTCCAACGCAGGACCTCTCACATGCCTAGGATTTCCTTTACTTCACACCTAATAGTAGTGGCTGGGCCTGTTAGGATCACAAAAGCAAGAAAACTGGTCCTCCCACAGACATGCTTGGGAATTCAACATATTCCAGAGACTCCTTGGTAGGCAAAAAAAAAAGATTATGTAAATTAACTGACAGGTGGGGGTGGAGGAAATCCCAAAATGGCCATATGAAGACTTGAGCGTGTCTAGGAGGCACAGAACATTGAGAGTCAGGTGGGGGTGGAGGAAATCCCAAAATGGCCAGATGAAGACTCAAGCATGTCTAGGAGGCACAGAACATTGAGAGTCAAAATAAAAAACAGGGTTGGGTCTAACCAGTCTTTCTCCTGGTGAAAAGGGAAGGGTACGGTTCCCATCGACCACTAGAAAAGTTATGCATGGAATCATGGGGCCAGCATGGACAAAAGCCATTTGGCACGGGGGCTGTAGGAAGGTGGGGAATGGTGAGACTGAGAGATTCAGCAAAAAAGCTGGATGGATCCACCCCAGAAAGATGAAAAATTCCACCTGCTCAAGTCTTTGGAGCATATACAATCCTGGATGTTTATGACTGTTTTTTCCTCTCCCTCACATATAATGCCTAATCTGTAAATTGGTTTTAAGACTGTAATAATAAACTACCCTACTTATCCTGGATGTTTTTTAAGCACTACCAACACCTGCCAAACATAATTAACCAGAGCCAATTATGGAATGACTGTATGGAGCACAAGCAGTGGCAACTCCATCACACCTTCTCATCAACTGCAGTCTTCAACCTTTTCATGGTGCCTGATTAGGCAGGTAACTAGCTGGGAGAATACCCCAGCTCTTGAACTCCTTCTGCTGGAAGAATCACCTGGCATCATCACTGCACTCTTCTAAGCGACAGGCAAAAATTTATCAGAACTTTTCATAGTAATTAATATTAATCAGTTTGTTGTATCTGCCCTTCAGTTTTATCTAAGACCTTATTACCAGCTTCTTCTTGTTGTTCCGCACAGTCGAGTCCGACTCTTTGCGACCCCATGGACCAGATCACGCCAGGCCCTCCTGTCTTCCGCCGTCCTCTGAAGTTGGCTCAATTTCATGTTCATTGCATCTATGACACTGTCTAACCATCTCATCCTTTGCCGTCCCCGTCTTCTTTGACCTTCAATCTTTCCCAGCATCAGGGTCTTCTCCAGTGAGTGCTCCCTTCTCATTTGGTGGCCAAAGTATCTGAGCTTCAGTTTCATTATCTGGCCTTCCAGGGAACAGTCAGAGTTGATTTCTTTTAGGATTGACTGATTTGAACTTCTTGCAGTCCAAGGGACTCTCAAGAGTCTTCTCCAGCACCATAGTTCAAAAGAATCTATTCTTCGGCGCTCGGCCTTCCTTATAGTCCAACTCTCGCAGCCATACATAACTACTGGGAATACCATTGCTTTGACCATGCGGACTTTTGTTGGCAGGGTGATGTCTCTACTTTTTATCATGCTGTTTAGGTTCGCCATCGCTTTCCTCCCAAGGAGCAGGCGTCTTTTAATTTCATGGCTGCTGTCACAGTCTGCGGTGATCTGGGATCCCAGGAACGTGAAGTCTGTCACTATTTGGGTTTCTTATTTTCAAGTATGGGAGCCTCCTTGCAGATTTTCAAGAAGAAGAAGAGGAGGAGGAGGAGATTGGATTTATACCCCGCCCTTCACTACCCAAAGGTGTCTCAGAGCAGCTTACAAACTCCTTTCCCTTCCCCTCCCCACAACAGACACCCTGTGA